GTCAACCTATCACTTCTTTCCTGGATCAAACCCTTCCCCCCCCCACCCCGCTGCAAGACTTTAGCGGTCGTTATATGTGCATACTCTTTATTACATGAAGTCTGGATTACTTCTCTGTGAATTATCTTAAATAACAAATGTTTATGAATGACAGCAGATAAGCAGTTCACACTGACATCAGTGCATGCTCTCAGGTCTACCAGTTTTTCTTTTGGAGATCAGCCATTGCCTAAGCAATAGTTTCCAATTGAATTAATTACTGCTTAGTATAGCAGTATGTTCTGCTCTGTTAAGTTAGCCATCTGCTCTTCCTTTTAAGCTTGGTTGTCCTTCCATAGTGAATTATTTAACCTGATGTAAGCTATTTAACAATGCACATCAGAAGCCCTTTGACCACCAGAGGCGCTGCTGAATTATCAGGGATACATGCAAAGCAGCGTGATACTCCCTAGGAAAGGTGCCAGTTCTGTGATGGTGCATATTTCTAATGCACCCAAGTGACTCAGCTTAACCTTCTCTCCAAAAAGAGGTTGTGAAGCTCCTGTGGAATTGTGGCTAACTTCTTAACAGCAATGAACTGTCCTATTTACTGTAGGTTGTGTTTGCAGCCCATGTGAGGTTGCCATGCTTTCCTGGATTCTCACATGAACCAGAAGCCAGACAAGTACATTAACAACCATTCGTTCTTTCTAAATCCAGCTGGGTGGTGGTTAGATTGTTCCAGACCATTGAAATCTCTCATGCCATAAAGAACGCTACTGTCTGGACTTCTCAGCTGGAAATTTTGTGCTACTTTCATTTGAATGTCCTGAAAGCTCAGTCTCCCTGCTGTTTTAGGCTATATTTGTTAGAAGTATGTTGGATGTGATTTTATAAGTGTATTTTGTCAAATGACTTTTGCCTTTCTAGAGTACTTTGCAATTTGAGGTTTCCCTTGTGATATATATACACATATAAAAGCTGGGGGATCATTTTTGTTGAGTCTTAAAAATAATGTTTAATGATTTTGTATGAAGAGCCAGTTAGCCACTGGGAAAAGCACAATATTTGTCAAATGCTCACTCTGTTAGGATAGCACAGTATAGAAGGAAACTCCACAAAACCAGACCAGTGGTACCATGCACTCTCTTTAGTTAAATAGGCATTCAAGGTTCACTGTAGACTATAGTCTTAAATTAAACACTTCCCTTTTGTTTGGAAAAATTATTTCTCAAATACAAATGTACATGTGAGACGCTAGTTTTTAGTATGCAACAGCAGAGAGAAGAGTCAGTTTTTAGCGGCATCATTAATAGATCAGCAGGGAGTGTGCTCACACACCAGCTTTTTGCTGTATGCTGATAAAACTCTTCGTACAAAGGCATATACTGCAGCATCATGAAGAGTTGCCTTTCCCTGGTTTGCCTTGTTGGGTATGGAAACAAGCTCATATCATTCTCTCTTACCAAGTGACGTACTACACATGTAATAAGCTTCTTTCTAAATTGCATAGCCTATGGATTTCAAAGAGTGCCTGAAAGTAAGATGGAATAGAGTACACACTGGAAAACTGAATAATTGATACCTCGTAGTGAATTAAAAGTGACAATTGTCAGAAAAGAAAGAAAACATTTGCTCAAATTAAGGAAAAAACACTCCTGGGAGACCTGAAACAGCAAATTTTCACATCTGAGGTTTGCTATTCATGTTACTCAAAGAAAACTAGCAAAGCTAGAGGAAATGAGATCATCTGCTTATGTATCACAGCAAGATATCTTTAATTGTGAAGTATCATAAGCTCTTCTGACTTAAACTGAAATAGATACTCATTTTACAGTCTGGAACATTGTGCTTTTCCATAAGATAAATAGGCTGTAATACACTAAATAAGACTCCAAACATTATTCATCATCTTATGTCATACTAGATACATTGCTAGAGACCAGTTATCAGAATCTTTGAGCTTATGCAGCTGTAGCGGACCGCTACTGCATGCAGTTTGTCTCGACTTGCCGTCGCACCACCATTTCCCTGCATTGACATCCTGCCTCGGAGCGCCCCCCCCCACCCCCGCGGTCTGCGGACGAGCGCCACCATGCGCATGCGCGAGAGCCAGGGCGCGAAAAGGGTTCCCGAGGAGGCAACACGTGCCGCACGTGCCGCACGAACGGCACGTACGCAACCGCGATCTGCGCATGAGCGTGGGATCCCATACAAAGGAGCGCACGTGCTCGGGTAAGTGGTGGGGCGTTTCCTCCTTCTTCCTCTTCACTTCTCCTCGTGCATCTTCCGGGACCTGCTGCGACACAACCTGCGACGCTTGGACACCATAGAGGGAGCTAACGGAACATCCCTGGACTCGGAGTGGTGGTAATTAGACTCGTCCCGACTTGGTCCCTTCCCCTCTCTATCTCACTACCTCTCTATCTCACTACCTTTCTATTTCTCTGCCTCCCTCTCTCTCTCTCTCTCTCCCCCTCTTTGCCCTTCCCCGCTCTCCCGGTTGTCTCTTTCTATACCGTTCTTTTCTCCCTGTTCATAAAAAATAAAGCTAAAAGGTTGTACGACATCTGACCTTGTTTGTGTCTTAATCTCACTCTTGGGATCGTATCAAACCCTCCCCAATATTGGATCGGGACATTTTAATTGGCGTCACGGACAGGATCCCTTGAGACGAGAGTGTCATACAACCTTGTTGTGGTGTGCTGTGCAAGTGTATGTTAACGAGACGTACAAGGAAGTACGAAGTGAGTGCGGAGTTCTGATCCGCGGTTCTGCTCTCAGGCGAGGGAAGCAGCCGGAGACGAACAAAGCGTAAGGAAGGAGCGGATGTTGGTTCTTTTTTATTGATAATGTGTATAGTAGCGTACGGTTTGGCCTTCCGGGGGTGTATAGGGGAAATTTGAACTTTAAAGTGTGACCCTCCTGGGAGGATATTCCCCTTTGTAGGACAAGGCAGGCGATATTTGTGACTGTGTGCCCGTATGGACTGAGGAAATTGATAAGTTACATGATTTTTTGGAAGTACACCGATCTCGTCCCTCGCTCCCGGGGCAAGATTGGGCAAGGGACCATTGGTTCCAATTGCGAAGTGCAATAGACAGAATGACAGAGTTACATATTCATTAGGTTTCTGATAAATTTAATACATATTCATTATTATTCTGGGAACTCATGAATATATGCTAATGTCCTGATTCACCTGTGCAGTTTCTTTCTCAGGTGGTCGTCAGGGGTCGTCCTCCTCAAATCTTCCTCTTTCTCCTCTTCTTCAGTGTACACAGTTGGGTGACCTCTTCTTCATTATCTCTGTTTTGCAAGCTCAGCAACCTTGTTATCCGTCCTGCCCAGGTGGTCCCAGGCTTGTTGGCACATTGGGCCCCCTTTATCGGGTTGCCTCAAACTTTGTGTCTTTTTCTAGTTCATACCCAAGGACTATTTCCTAACTTATGGCTTTTCTTATCCTGTTTTTACATTCCCGCTATTTTTCTAATTTTTTTCTTTTTTACTGGAGCATGAGACAGGCGAATCCCGGGTTTGTGGGGCCTGACTCAAGTGTTGCCAAGTTATATTCTGTTTTTAAAATTGTTCTATGCTAATTAGTTTCCCTTATTCATTCCCCCTTTTCATTAAAGTTGTGAATTCTTTTGCAAGAAGGCCCACAATACATTCTCTTTTTGCGGTGTTCTCTTAAAGTATTTCCCTGATTCTACTGCATGTCTTATTTTGTTTCCAGTTCTCATATTCTCCTGAAGTTCGCCTGCTACACCAAAATGCACGCTGTATTAATATATGTCAGGATTATCATCAGTCCTATAAGCAGGACAAAAACAAATAGCTGCCAGAGCCAGGTCAGATTAGGGAGCCAGGAAGTTAACTTGTGTCAAATTTCTTTAAAACCCCATGAGGTATCATCTTTAGTTATTTTATGTAATACTTCACTTTGTCTATGGATTTTGCCTAAATCTGTGGAGATTCTTCTGTTTTGGTCTACGTACATACAACAGCTTATATTTATGGTTGCACAAACACCACTTTGTGAAGCTAATAATAAATCAAGGGTCATTCGGTTTTGAATTACTTCTTTCAACAGACTAGTTATTTCAATTTGCAAGGCCTGTATTGCATCAATGGTTTTGTTCTCAATGTTTTCTGTTACTGCCAAAACGTTTACTATAGTTTTTTTCTAGTTCACTTACCCCTAGCCATGGGAGAAACCACCTTATAAAACTATGGAACTTAGCAAACCTATCCACTATAGCATTATGAGTTTTCTTTATCCTTTTGAGGGAAGTTGTTATTCTTTCATCCTGTGGGTATAGTTTGTCAACGATAGTAATATTAGGAACTAAAGCTCCAAGAGTACAAGCTTCTTTCCATCCTAGGGGCAATCTCTTCAAAGCCAGTGTACCACATAGCCAATACCATCCCGTTCCTAATGGGACCGGGAGTCCAGTGTTGTTTAATCTTTGAAAAACAGGATCAATTAATGTCATATTTAAAGAAATGGACTTGTTACATTTTAAATATTTTCCTATAAAGGTGCCCTTTCCTGAACTTACCAAACAGCTATTACTCCAGGTATAATTTGCTATCTTCCTTTCCTTGTTCCATTTGGATTGGGAATCTTTCCTAAGGGTGGTGCTGGCCCAATAAACCAGATTTGTCCAGGAGACATTAGATGGAAGCGGAACTCCTATTAACGATATTCTGTGGCCGGAATATTTAGGCATCTGGGTGCAGATCCAACAATAATTATTACACCCATCTGAATTTTGTTTGAAGTATTTGGGTTATTCTTTAAATAAATTTTGCACCTTTGGGTTACTTGTTTCACAGTGGTGTACAAATTTCGACTTACTAGTTTCTGGTTTAATTGTTTATATAAAGCATCTGTATCCCAATGTGTTTTCTTATGTTCATCTAAAACTAATTTCCATAACAAATTAGAGGGTACTATTATTCGTCCATCTGGAACATTAAACTATCTATTTTTTCTTTCTAACCTTCTAAATCATCGATTAATTTTTATCTTCTTTGGAATATTTATCTGGCTCTAAATCAGAATTTGGAATCTGAAGTTTACCATCCAGAATTAAGGCTGCCATCACTTTACCTTTTTCTGCTGCCTTTCTAGCTTCTGAGTCTGCCAATTTATTGCCAATCTCTCGGTCGGTGTTACCTTTCTGGTGCCCTTTACAATGTATAATAGCTACTTTTTCTGGAAGATTTACGGTTTCTAGTAACTTTAGGATTTCTTTTGCATGTTTAACATATTTTTCTTGAGCAGTGAGAAGTCCTCTTTCCTTCCAGATAGCACCATGGGCATGTAAAACCCCAAAGGCATACTTTGAATCTGTCCAGATATCAATCTTCTTTCCTCTTGCCAGCTCTAACGCTTGGGTTAGGACAATGATTTTAGCCTTTTGTGCTGATGTCCCCACAGGTAATGATTTTGCTTCGATTACCCTTTGGGTAGTGGTCACAGCATATCCCGCTTGGCATTCTCCTTGTTTTACAAGGCTGCTTCCGTCTGTATACCAGGAGTCCTCGGCATCGTGGAGTGGCTCCTCTTTTAGATCGGGGCAGCTGGAATATACCGCTTCCATCGTTTTTAAACAGTTGTGGACCACCAGCTCCGAGATTTCCCTGCTAAGGAAAGAAGCTGGGTTCACTATGTTAGTGGTGACTATAGTTATATCATCTTGTTCCACTAGTATCGCTTGGTATTTCAGAAATCTAGAGGGGGAAAACCCATGTCCTTCTTTTTGTTCTAACAAGGCTGAAACCGTATGAGCCACCATTACTGTCATTTTCTGGCCCATTGTGAATTTGCGTATTTCCTGTACATTCAGGATAATTGCAGCTACTTGCTCATAGACATCCAGGCCACCCTCTGCTTACTTCATCCAATTGCTTGGAAAAGTAAGCTACTGCTCTTTTATAAGGGCCTAGTTGTTGAGCCAGCACCCCTAAGGCTATTCCTTGCCTCTCATAAGAAAATAGCCAGAAGGGTTTAGACACGTCAGGAAGACCTAGGGCCGGTGCTCTCATCAGTTTTGTTTTCAGTTGTTCAAAGGCTCTTTTTACTTCTCCCATCCAGGTCAACTTTAACTGATTATCTTTTAGTAACTGATACAACGGTTTTACTAAGAGTTCATAATTATATATCCATAATCATCTGCACCATCCTGTCATACCTAAAAAGGTCCTAAGTTCTTTCGCAGTTCCCAGCATTTGTGTGTGGCAAATAGCTTCTTTTCGACCTTTACGGAGTTCTCTTTGTCCTCCTGAGATCTTAAATCCGAGGTAAGTGACTAGTTGCTGAATCGCTTGGGCCTTTTGCTGGGAAACTTTGTACCCACTTGATCCTAGAAAATTTAACAAGCTCACTGTCCATTGGGCACAGTCCTCCTTAGTAGTTGTACTCACTAGTAAATCATTCACATATTGTAATAAAGTCCCCGCCTGAGATGGAGGAGTCCATGTTTCGAGTTCTCGGGCCAACTGGTTCCCAAAGATAGTAGGGCTATTCTTAAATCCTTGAGGTAACACCGTCCAAGTTAATTGTGTTTTTCTGCCTGTTTCAGGATTTTACCATTCAAAAGCCAACAGCTCCTGACTTTCTACTGAAAAGGGCAGACAGAAAAAAGCATCCTTTAGGTCCAGTATGGTAAACCAAATTTTATCATTTTTCACTTGAGTTAATAATGTACAGGGGTTTGCAACCACTGGTGTAGCTAGTTTAGCTTTGAGAGAGGCCAAACGACTGGGCGTACTTGGTGAGGCACTGGCAGC